CGAGACATTCATTTGAGGGCTGTTGTGTTGTACGTTAAAGTTAGAAAATCCATGATGATTTTGAGACTGATTCAAAGTGGAGATAATGTTGCTTTGTAAGGGTTGTGTTTGATTGTAAACGAAGGTTTGAGTCGGAATTTGATGTTGGGATTGACTGTTGCCATCTTCATAATTTTCCTCGTATTCTTGGCTGTTGTCATTGTCGTCGTGCTCTTCATCGTGTTGAATGCTTGGGGCAGGATAGGTAGATTTTAGTCGTATTTCCTCTCTGTTAACGAGAAAGGGCATGGAAGCTGGCGATACTCGACCATTTGTGTCTCCATTTACGTTTAAGGAAGTAAATGGCACATATCTCAGTGTAGCGTCAGTAGCCATAAAAGTTTTCCCTTATCCAAAGAAACTTTTACCTCAACTTCTTCATCCGCATTTCCATCAGGTGTTTCACAAACAATAGTGTTATCCTTGTTTGGAGAAACATAGACACATCGAGCTCGCTTATCTCCAAAGTACACATAGACATTGTTAGGAGCTACAATTTGCTGATTGATTAATACCTTTACCAATTGCCCACCTTGAACAATGCTATACCTTGGGCTGACCTTCAATACTTTTGAAATCTTGCTTCGGCTATGATCAATCTTTTGTTGACGCTTTTGGTTTCCTCGATCAGTGATTGTTTCAAAATATGAAGAATCCACATAAGATACAGGTAACTTGTCAGGAGAAAGTAGTGTAAATCTAAGGAAGAACTTTCTGCCGTTCATATGAGAAGCCTCATCAATAATTATATTGTCGAAATGAAGGTCAACACGCTTTGAGTCTCCTCTCAAATTTACCTTGCTCTTTGATAATAGTACAGGTTCGACAATATCTTTAAGTACTTCCTTTTGCTTAGTTTTATAACCTAATAGAGAAACCTTCATCGAGTAAAATTGATATCTAGGAATACCAGATGTTCTAATACTGATGATATGTCTTGGAAGGGGTTTCTTATTTTGTTTTCCTCCTGGTTGTGGATTTGGTGGAGGTAAATCGAAGCCTTCTTCTATCATTAACAATCCGTCAGTGTCTATTGTTAAGGATCCTGTTGCTGAAGAAGTGTCAGGTATAGTAACAATACGTGGTTTTTCTTTTGCTTCATTGACATTGTTTCCAGAATCGTTGCTTTGACTATGATATGAGGATGCAGGTGAATTCAAAGGTTTAATGACATGCAGTGAAGAAGACGAAGGAATTGAGGGTGATTTGGTGTACACAGAACCTTGTTGCTGAAGAGGTGGTAGAGTTTGTTGAGGTTGAGGATGTGATGTTTGGTGGTCAAAAGGAGGATGGTGTTGATCAGTTGCGAACGTTGAATTGAGAGGAGGTTGCACTGGAGGAGGTGGTTGGTTGCGGTATGGTATTGAGTCCTCAGCAGTGACAATTGAAGGAAGAGGCTCATTTGACACTCCATTATCGACATTTGAGCCAGATACTGAGCCAGTAAATGATGACGAGTTTGAAAAGAGTGTATTAGGAGTGCTCAAGAATGTTGGAGTTGGAAGATTAAATGGCATATGAATGTCACTAGCTGATGTTAACGGAGGAAATTGCATTGAAGATGTCTTTGAAACATTTCCGCTGTTGTTTCCTTGTAAAAGAATTGAGCAAGCTCCATTTGTACTGTTGGTAGATGCTCCCGTTAATGTTCCACCTGTTGTTGCAGAGACATATCGAATGGAAGAAGAAAGAGGAATACCTGATGGAGAACGACCTCCTGATGGAGAACGACCTCCACCTAAAATACTGTTGATACTGCTACTGGTATTAAGATGACTGCTTGAATTATGAGCTTGTTGAGCTTGAGAAAAATCAGAAATATAAGGCGCCAAAGTCGTGGATGGAGAATGTTGCAGTGGAGAGGCTTCATGGAAACGGTGAGGATCCATGCTCAATGGTGTTCCAGCAGCACTTGGCGAAGTCTCAATAATTCCTCTTGACAATGAGTTGGTGAGAGGAGAGTTCAAATCGAATATCGTAGCAAATTTGGACGATGTTTGTGAGGGCTGAAGTAATTGGTCGACATCAAGTTCCTTTTGACAAGATCCTTTTTGCGATTAGTGTTAGAGGGTGGACGCGAGCTCATGGCTGTTGAAGTTGACAGTACTTGTTGAGTGTTATTGTTGGTTACTGAGGCCAATGAAGAGAGAGAAGGCAACATGAGAGGATGCAAATGGTGTTGCTGCCTGTTGGTTGCTGCAATGCAGAGATGGCAAGTGTTGTTGTGATGGAAGGTGAACAATTTTAGCCTATGATCGTCCGTTGTGAGATTTGTGTGCGGGCAATCAGTTAGTTGTTGTCGGTCACTTTAAACCAATTTTCAGTTCTGAGCGCTTTTGATGAAAATTATAAATTCAACAAGGATAATATTATTCTACTGTAATTAATTACTGTAGGGATGAAGGTTATTGTCGGAATGAATAGTATATTGGCTTGTGATGATGGTACCGGTGATGATGATGAAAATTATAAATTCAACAAGATCTTGCAGATAACGATTGAATAATAAAAAAGGCTTCCAACAATACTATTATTGAGCATCAAGACAACTCCAAATGTAGACCAAATTCAAACTCGATCCGGATTGATCCACAACAACTTCTGCTCAAGAGAACTCGTGGTTCGCTTTGAAGAACTTGTAGAGAGTGAGGTTGGATTCAGAAGAGCGACGACGTGTACAGCTTCGGTTGATGATTGGCTGTGAGATCTCTCTCTCTCGTACGCAACACGAACGAACTCGGTTTTTCAAGAGATTTATTTTTGAATGAAATTGCAAAAACGAAAGCGTTCGGCAAAGAATGGTCATCGCTTTCTTTGGATGGTACGCTTTTGTGGTGAATGGAATATGGAATGGTTGTTGTGTTGTGGTTGTGGTTGAAACGAAATAAGCACTATGGAAATATAAGGATGAACGTTTTTATTTTTACGAGTGAATGGCATTGGTTTTAAAGATGACGATGCAAGAGTGTTTCATCTTGTTTGACACAAAAGTGTGAATGAGATTGAAAGAGAACAATGAAATATGTTCTAGTCACAAAATTCGATTCTAGAGTTGGCCATAGGACTCTTGTCGAAGTGTGCTTCCTTGCTTATTTCTACAGCAACAACAAAAGACACTCAAACCAATGCAGCAGACAACACAAAGGAAGAACAAAACGCAGAGAGTGACAATCACACCAATGACAGCTGAAGCAACAGTTCCGGGATTTTCATACACGACCACCATGTCTTGTATCTTGTTTTGAGAATCTAATTTACAAGAAGGAGTAAATGTCTCAAGATTGTTATCATTCAATCCACATGTGAGAAAGTCAAAGTTGAATGCAATTTCGGCACTGCCATCTTTCAATATAATATTTGCACAAACAACAGCATCAATTTTTCCGTTCGTTGACAACACGGCATTGTACAGAGCTCATAGGTCTTTTGATAAATGATTTGAGTGTGAAAGCATCAGCAATCCTCTTCTGAATGAAGAGGATTGCTGATGATGATGCTGTCTCCATTACTTGTGAGCTGTGCAAATGGGAACCTCATGGCATTACATTTGTCATCAAAGTACTGGATGTCTCCAATCCTCCACACACCACTTTCAAAAGTGTCCAAAGTGTATCGTTTGGAAGCGTCAGCAAGGAGTAAATCTTTGAAATCATTGGCTGCAAGCCTTTCGTAATCAGTGAGTGATGCTGAAGCGATGGTGCTTACGTGATCATCATTCTGAAGGGTTTCACTATTGGCACAAATGATTTCTACACAGCACAAGACAACAACAGCAAATATCAAAACCGTTTGGGAAAAATGTCGCATGTCTATTTTATTGTTAATTCAACCAGGAACTTTCGATTCGACGAATTGGATTTTTGTTTTTATCGATTTGGGATATATTCTCTATTCATTGTCCACTCGACTTCCAATATGAGGATTGTTTGCAGTCTCGCTGAGTTCTGCATGTCTGGAAGCAAAGTTGCTGTTCCATAATAGAACGTTGCTATCTGTTCCTCCGGTTGCAAAGAATGATCCGTCTTTTGAAAATCTGGCACATGTCGTTGAACCAACATGACCTGATATTGTGTACATGAGCTGAGCATGCATCAGATTCCAAATTTTAACAGTATTGTCTTCACCTGTGCTTATAAGGTAATTTCCTGACTTGTGGAAGTCAATGGAAGAGACAGGAAAATGATGACCATCGTAGTTCTGCAAGGGTCGTCCAGAGTATCTCAAATCAAAAATTCGAATAGTATGATCTTTTGAACAACTTGCTAAACACGTTCCATCAGGTGAAAATCGAACCTTATTTACAAAGTCTGTATGATGCTTCAAGTCAACAATACACTTGGCGCTGCTACTGTCAAACAGTTTGATGATCTTATCTTTACCTCCTGTCGCCACGACTCTTCCGTCGTATGAAATGTCACAGCTCAGTGGGGCTTGGGTATGGCCCAAAAAACATCCCACAAATTGTTGATATTGCAAAGACCAAAGCTTTCCCAAAATGTTAATTTTCCATTCCTTTCCAATTTGAAAGACATACCTTGGCTGTGTTGTCTGAAGAGCAGCTCAGTAAAAATTGACTTGTGTGGTCAAACGCAATATCGTTAACAGGGCCTTCATGTGCTTTGATTAACACCGAGTGATGAGGTCGTTGCAAAGCTACCTCAGCCGTATCATCTCCTATTCCTAAATGCATCAATCGAACAGTTCTATCATTACCTCCTGTGGCAATCAAATGAGTGAATGCACCTGTAAAAATCTTTGGAGCAAATTTTACACAAAAACTCCTCCAAGTTCGTGATGAACATATTTAAGGGGAAAGAAATTTCCTTGGATTTTCCATAAAAACAAACTAGAATCATAAGAAACAGATGCCAACCTAGAACCCTCTGGGCTAAAATCAAGAGAAGTTATTGAATCTGTATGTCCTTTGAATGTTGAGTGTAATGAGGGGTCACTATCTTTTCTAGTGAGCTTGTAGTTGTCTGGCATGTGGAGCTGTCTCATTTCGTCCCGATACCTTGAAATTCGATTCCATAAATTATCATGATATTGTTCGTTTATATGATTCCATAATACTCTGTCCTCTTCCGGTATCACTTTATCTTCAAATAATGTTTCATGTTTTGATTCCGCGTCTATTAAATGTTTATCCTTTTTT